CTTATATACTACTATATTATACCTATATCTATTAGTAACTACTATAAGTATTATATACTCTATATTATAAAGCTAGCTACTAATATACTAATTATTCTTAGCCTTCTATAGCTATAGTAATATAATCTAGCTATTAATTAGACCTCTATATCTATAACTTTTACCTTCTAGTACTATATAGCGTACTACAGTTCTAATAGTAGACTAGTATCTATAGTACTATAATACTAAGCGCCTAGTAAGACCTTTACTGCCTACTCTATATAGCCTCTACCTTAAATTACGCTTACACCTCTAGATTCCCTGCTAGCTATAGAGAACTGCGTCTCTATTCTAGACAAAAAACTACTCTTTTCGCTAAGTTGTAAATAAACTAAGCGGTTACTACTAATTACGCAAGATCTTCTTATAAAAACTAATAGCGCTTCTAGGTTAAACTATATTACGCCGTTATATAAAGATACACCTAAAGATATATAGAAGAAGAATATAAATAGAAGAAACTAACTACTAGAAATTCTACCTAAGCTTACGCTAGGCCGCCTATACTATTATACCTATAATTCTAGAGTAAGTAAAGGTAGAATACCTAAATACTATAGTATAATAATTAGAAACACGTGCCCTATAAGAAAAATACTAGCCTAAAAAGTAGAAGGTATCTAGCTCTTTATAGTATAGATTAGAAAAGAACTATAACTATAGCTTAGTATTCTAGTTCTAGAACTAATATATAGACTATGCAAAGCACTTAAAATAGAAGATATTTACCTCTCTAAGGTTATAAATTTTATCTAATTCTGTAAGTAGCTAGCTATTTAGGCTATTTAGGTTATATAGAATAACCTAAACAAGATAGCCTAAGAAAGTAAGCAAGAGAAAGGCAATGTACTTTCTAATCTTACTAAAGCTAAGTATTCTAATATTCTATTAGAACATATTAGTAACTAATTATATAACAAATTTTCTAGCTAATTCTACAATTTCTTAGACAATTACTAATAGGCTATTTACCTTCGCAGCCTTAAGTAAATAGATATTAATAAATTTCTAGAAGATAAGAAGCTTCTTTCTAAGTTAGAACTTAGAATAAGGCTGCTAGAATAGCTATAGGATAAGCTAGTAGAATTTCTTTTCTAGAAAGCTAACAAGCTACTACTAATAAGAGCTTAGAACTATAAGATTAATATTATTCTAGAAAAGAAGCTACTATATTAGAAGAATAGGCTCTTCTCTACTAAGAAGTTAAAAGTTATTAGAAAATAGTTAGATAATAACCTAAATAAGAGCTTTATATATAAATTCTATTTACGTTATACTACACCCCTACTTCTAGTAGCAAAACTAGGCGAAGGGGTGCGTATCTATTAAGACTACTAAGGCCTTAACAACGTAACTATAAAGAACTAATACCTACTTCTACTAATTAGAGAAACGCTTAATACTCTATGTAATACTAAGGTGTATACTAAGCTTAATATTATTACTATGTTTAATAAGCTAAGAATTGCAGAAGACTACAAATAGAAAACAGCCTTTATTACCTAATTTAGACTCTTTAAATCGCTAGTTATACTGTTTAGCCTCTATAATACGCTAGCCTTATTCTAGAACTATATTAACTATACACTTTATAATCTTCTAGACTATACGTGTACTACGTACCTTAATAATATTCTTATCTACTTTATAAATAAAAAGAAACACTAATAATACGTCTAAGACGTAGTCTAATAGCTTATTAACGTAGACCTCTAAATTAACATTAAGAAGTATAAATTTA